TTATCTCATTTAAAGCTTCTCACACTTTCAGAACTTTTCTGTTCTAAAATTGTAACTCTTAACTGAGAAGATTTAATTTGTTGATAGAAAACAAATTTGAAGACTTATTTATATAGGAGATCATTTGCGCTTTCGCTGGTAACAACTATATCTTAACATCTTACTGGCATCACAGTCCATATTTATGCTCGAAGGCATTAACAGTCTTTAAGGAAAACAATTTTTGAGGAGATTGGCCAAAAGAGTTTTTGACAACGTCAAATGCACACAAATGTATAGGTATATGTAGTCCTCTGGTTTAATCTGAACCGCCATCGAGAATCTATGGGTATTTGAGCAATAGATGATAATAATTGAAATACGGAAAGCTTCGTGCCTTATATGCATGCAAAATGAGGTTTTTTGAAAACTTCATTGCCTTCATTTTTAAAATTTCCTTCGCTTTGCGAACCAATGAACATAGATCCACTTGTTCTCCTATAACATACTTGATATCAAATGAATGATAAGACTTTGTTCTTTGAGTTATAAAGCACCTTATTAACCGCACGCACCTATCTTGACTTCATTAGAAAAAATACGCATTTACAACACAGTTATGCAACGGATTAATCACATAAAAATTTTTTGATTGCATTTTTTTTTGCAAAAGACGAGTACAGTGTCTTATTACATCAAAGTTCTTACGGTATCTTTTATATAAATATAATGTGAAAGTGCACTAGCATTTCATAACACACTAGGAGCATGTGTTTACACCTCCGACAGCAGTACAACTAGTTTCTTATCAACTTTAGTAAAGGTCTCATTGATACAATGTTCACAAGGCCTTGTATGACCTTGTCAATACCATTTTGCAGGTTCTGTAGAAGTAGGCATTGCAATGGTGAATAAATACAAATTTAATTAAGGTTTAAATATTTACGGAAATAGCACAACATCAGAAACTTTCGATAAGCATGTTCAATAATCATCGACAATCGATAAGCACTTAGCATCTGCCATTTTAACTGTCTCTTTGTCGCGTATTTGCGGAAGTTAATACTCACTCTTGTGATCATATGCTCTCTTGGGGAGTAAATCTTTCCGACACTTATATGTTCTTTTCCATTTTCGTGACCTTAGTCTACGTCTGCAAAGTCAAAGCACAAAAATGGGAGCACTCTCAAACGCATAAAAATTTTGAGTTTCTACCCACTACATTTCGAAGAAATCCCGCTATGCAATTTGATATCAATTTTCTACCACTTCACGCTCCAGTACAAAATAAATAACAATGACTACCATTCACTGCGTCGTAGATTAGATCAAATTGGATTACCATGGATCAGACCATATGGCTACATTCGACGCTTATTCTCTTTCTTATCGCTTCTAGTGTAGGAGAAAGATCACCCGAATGTGATAAATGC